CAGCCTGGGCGAGTCTATTTTGAAGAAGTGGTTCGGAAGTGGGGGGTGTCGGTCGGTCGGGCAACCAGAGACGCGGTGCAGGCGGGCCGCAGGATACGCAGCGCGGGGGAGGCGTGTGCGATTCATGCATGAGTTGAGTGAGCCAGTCAGTCAGCAGTCTCATTGTGCAGTGGTTAGTGCTAGTTGCGTCTGCAAATCGTGCGTGGGTGACAAAAGTACCTATTAGAAGCATAGTTACCTGTATTTTTCCAACCAGCTGCAAATCCTACAGGTATTTTTTTCATCAATTTAAGAATTAAAATTATTTTGTGTTGGTGGCTTTATTATTATAAAATGAAACTTATCTGCTTAGAGGGGTTTAAATGCCTAACCTTGCTAAATAACTTCTCTCGCTTACTGTTTATTTCCTTCCTTAGCACTCACGACAACTGTAATTATTTGATGTGACTATTTATTTATTTAAAGTTGATCTTCCTCACTAGAATGTAAGTTCCAGAAGGAAGTCATGTTATCTCCAGCCTTCCTTTCTAATAATAGACAAAGATAGTAATTGACCGTACCTTTGTTACGCCTCCCAATGGCTAATCAGCGCGATATGCAAATTAACCACCAACAAAGATGGCAGCTAATTTGCATACTGCAGGCAGGGCAGGACAATGCGAGCCGCCATCCGGGCCCCGTGTACGAACTGGGCGGCGGGGCTTAGGTGGCACAATTGCGCCGCCTAAGCCCCGCCCCCGGCCGGGACACCCATGTGCCACTTAAGCCCCGTGCAGCCTAAGCCCCCCCCCCAGCCGGGACGCCCGTGTGCCGCCTAAGCCCCGTGCCGCCTAAGCCCCACGCCGCCTAAGCCCCGCCCCCAGCCGGGACACCCATGTGCCACTTAAGCCCTGTGCCGCCTAAGCCCCGTCCCCAGCCGGGACACCCATGTGCCACCTAAACCCCGACCCCGGCCGAGACACCCGTGTGCCGCCTAAGCCCCACCCCCAGCCGGGAAGCCCATGTGCCGCCTAAGCCCCTCGCCGCCTAAGCCCCTCGCCGCCTAAGCCCCGCCCCCAGCCAGGACCCCCATGTGCTGCCTAAGCCCCCCTAAGCCCCGCTGCCAGCCAGGAACCCATGGCGATCCGAGAGCAGGAAAGTGTGGCCTGCAGGAAGCACCCAGGTGGACATGCTCCTGGGTCGCCATGGCGATCCCCAGAGCAGGGAAAGTGCGGAGGGCAGGCAGTCCCCAGGTGGGCCTGCTCCTGGGTCAATCCCAGAGCAGAAAAGCACAGCCTGTAGGCAGCCCCCAGGTGGGCATGCTCCTGGGTCGCCATGGCAATTCCAGAGCAGAAAAGTGCAGCGGGAAGGCAGCCCCCAGGTGGGCATGCTCCTGGGTCACCATGGCGATCCCAGAGCAGAAAAGCACAGCCTGCAGACAGCCCCCAGTGGGCCTGCTCCTGGGTCGCATGGCGAATCCGAGAGCAGGAAAGTGCAGCCTGCAGGCAGCACCCCACCCTGGCCACAGCTCAAGGGAGAGAACAACACCCAGTGGAGGCCAGGAGCCTGAGAGATCAACACAGAGCGGCGCCTGCTCCAAGCCTCCACAGTGTGGCTGGGGGCAGGCCCCCAGCGGACACACACACACACACACACACACACACACACGGGACGCCTGCTCCCGAGCCTTCTGCTGCCAGACTGTGGCCATCAGTAGGACAACCACTGAGGGGCTCTCCGGACTGTGAGGAGGGGCAGGGCTGGGCTGAGGGAACCCCCACCCCCCCAGTGCACCGAATTTTCATGCCCCAGGCCCTCTAGGTAGACCACATAAATAGGCATTCCATAAAATATATTAGGTGCATTGAACCTCATGGTTGTTAACACTAAGTATCTCAATTCCAAAATTATTAAATTAAGTTAATAAACAATGTACCTACCTTATATAGTTTAAGGTTTAAAAAATTTGGCTTCTCAAAAGAAATTTCAATCGTTGTACTGTTGAATATTTGGCTCTGTTGACTAA